ATTCCTATATTGACCATCTTTGTTTTGTATAGCCTGTAATACCCAGCTCCAATTAGCGGTACTCCGCTGTACCAGCTCTCCCGAACATGGAAGAGACAGCAAGGTATACACCGGCTGTACACTCCAGAAGGCTAACATTTCCTTCAGCAGGTCTGTTATAAAGAGACAGCCTGATTCCACACATAAGACCTTCCTGGAGACATGGAGACACTCATTTACTGATGCCTCAGAGGTGGTGCTTCTTAAAGAGGCTTCCTCTCGGCTCGAGGTACCCAATACAATAACCTGGGGCTCTCCCAGAGCGTAACCAGGTGTGGGATTCACCCAAATACTCTGAGGCTCAGTGTCAATGAGCTCTTCCACGGCTTCTCTATGGATATCAGTTTGGTACACCACACCATTAACTCCTTTATGGGCTGTGGGCAAAACTTCTGCTGAGTGTTTATCCTCAATGGTGCCTTTTACCAGCGGTGGGTTAATTTTGGCAGCGACAGGAGCGCCCTGGACTAATAGCTGCTCCTCAGTCCCTCTATTCAGCACAGCAGAAACCATGTCCACCCCATTGTTACCCACAGAGGCATCTTTTATTAATGCCAACAAGCTTGTTGCCCATCTGTTCCAGTCAATCGTCCCTGTGATCCCATCAGAGGTACTACGCAGTACCACTCCAACCGCTGAAGGACACACAGAGGGACAGAGTGGCTCTGTATCAGACCCATTACCTATATCTTCATTATCCATATCACAATGGGAGACTCCTTTTCTAGGCACAGCAGGTTGCAATTTCCTACTCTCACCACCGTGACCTAGTGGCATGTCATTCACTACAAAAACTTTAGCATTAGTGGATTGCATTAACCCATCATCATTATGAATACGTTCATTCCTTTTAGATTCACCATTGCCAGACTGAAATAACAAATTCTCACTCAATTCAGATACACTCTGGTCCACCCGAGCAACACCATAGTTATCCTGGGTTACCTTAACCACCGTTGCTAGGGGAGATAACACATCCTGCTTAGTGGTCACCCCTACTACATTTAATTCACCATTCTGTTTATATGACATTGGTGCAACCCCAATATCAGTACTCTCCACACTGACATTTTTAACCGTTGCCTCCCCACTAAAAGCATTATACAGAGGCAAGTCTCTCTCACAATCACCAGCAGTGGGTTTCCCAACTGGGAGTATCCCAAATTTATAGCAGAGAGTCTCAAAGTCTGTCTCAATCATTGCATTAGTATCTCTCACATTTATCTCAAAAGTACCAGTCTTACCCACCACTGTAACAGGCTTCACCTTCACTTGAGTGCGTGGGATCTGGATCCTTTCAGTCATCTCCTCTGCTTGGCTTTGGCCAGCCAGTTCATCCATGCAGCTATAGGATGATACTGTGGCAGGCACTTCTGATTCCTTGGCACCCCCTGCAGGCACAACAGGTACTTCACTGTTGCTAGAGGTGGCTGCAAATATTTTTAAACATGAATCTGGGCTTGCAGATGAAGACTTTTGCCCAGTAGCACCCTCATCAGTGGTATTCCATAATCTGGGGCAGGTAAAGATACCATGCCCAAACTGACCACATTCCAGGCAGGGTATGGTTCCACAGATAACCTTCTTGGGATAAGGAACCACATCTCCCTTGTAGCCCCTTCTCCTGGTTGGCAGTCTTTCTCCTGTTGCTATGGGAGATGGCACTCTCACAGCTGAACTTTGTGGGTTCCTCCAGATGCGCTGAACTCTCATCTCTGTGTTGCCACAATCCTCTGCAGACGACACTTCTCTCACAGGGTCCGCAGGCGTGAAGTCACATGTGTTGCTATGGGCAACCACATTCTTCTAAAACTTTTGGGCAACCTGTTGCTCCTTCCTGGAACTCCAAGCAGGCTTCCCAATTGCATACCCAGACCTTTGTCTGGTTGTGTCACCTTGTACTGGAAGCTGGGATAAAAGGGCACTTGGAGACAGTGTGCCCCCATTCACTGCACCGCAAACAGCGCTCTTGCGGCAGTATCTTGGCCAAACTTCCAACACTGCATCCTCTTTCAGGCTTAGTACTCTGCACACAGAAAACTGGTTTCCTTTCACCAGCGTTGCCAGGGACAACAGCATGCACTTCCCACTGTGGCAAACTCTGTGCAGCCATGTATGGGGCTTGTTCTGGTTATAACAACCCCTCCAGCCACAGGGCTCTGTCTCTCATTTCAGAAAATCTTGCTTCTTTTTTGAGTTTTGACCGCCCCATCTTTGCAGTCACTCCACAACACTTTTGCACAGTCCTGGTACACAATAGAGCACTGTCTCTTTAAGGCAAGTTCCTTTTCTCTTGCAGGATCTCCTCACCTGCACACACAGATAGTGCAGAGTCATGCACCAAACACAGTTCAACACATGAACTTACTTCCTTGCTGGGATCTCTAGTTCTGCCCACTACATCCTCCACCATACGTGGGAACTCGCTTCAAATGGTAGAGCTCTTCTTGTTAAAGCACACAGCAACTCACTTCTTTAAGGGCTTTTTTTGCCCACTTTTATTTAACAGAAAAAAGTTCCATAAAGAAAAAATGCTTCCCACGCAGGGGTATCCAACATCAAGCAAATTAACAGTATTCAGCCTCCTGGCTTGTACACAGTTCAATGTCTGTCTCCTGCAGACTCTTCCCAGATTATGGCCACTAGCACACAGCTAGTCTGGCTTTCACCTCTCCTAGCTGGGGCCCACCTGACTCCAAGGCAGTGACCTCCTGTCTTCTAAGTGGAGCCCTCCTGACATCCTATCTGCCGGGTTGGAGCCCTCCTGACTCCGTTTGCCGGGGTGGAGCCCAGAACCATGGTTAGGACTCTATAAAAAGGCCTGCACACACCTGTGCAATCAGTGTGCTGGGGGTTCTCAAAACACAGACCCCAGATTGGAGATTTCATCCCTCCCAGATCTCTTTGAAATCTCCGGGCTCCAGATCCCAAAACAAACTTAATGAATAAATGCGGAAACCGAAAAGTCAGTTTCCTCTGCAATACATCAACTCTCTGGAGCCCCTCAACCTGCCTGGTTGAGAATCCAGGGTTTTCAGCTTTATTTTGACTGTGGCAGGACACCGCACTGCCACAGCACATTAATACAAATTTTTAGCTGGGGTGCCCAAACTTTTGATCCCCACTGTATATGGTATCGCTGTGATCGTCAAGAGCTGAAAAATTTATTTTGGGTTGTTCTTTGGTGGAAGGTTATGGTAATAACCAGAAACACACAGCTAAATTTAAAAAAAAAAGATTTTTTTTTTTTTTTACTATTTTGGGCCAGTTTTCCTTTGATAATAAAATCACGAGATATCCATTACCATTTACCACTAAATGAAAGCCCAATTTGTCCTGAAAAAAACAAGGTATAATTCACTTGGATGTACAAAGTAGTTGTGATGATATGTACGGTTTTACTAACACATGTCAAAGTTGCAAAATTGTGCTTAGGCGTTAAGATTTGTTTTACCCTTAGGAATGAAGGGGTTAAATAGGCCATTTGATGCCAACGCTAAGCCTGAGCATGCACACACTGCAACATACACACTTCTGAGCGCATATGCATGCCAACTACAGCTCTATGTGCTGAGCCGTTAACATAGACATGCAGAGGTACCCAAGCCATCTGGCTAACAGTTATTCATTGATAGTATATAATCACAAATGAGGAAGAATGCGATTTTTTTAAAACATTAAAACACATTCATAATATCAACATTTTCACATGTTTATCTAAATATAATTAAGAAGACTATACATTCCCTAGACTATTTTAACTAATGTAATGCATATGGCTTTCTAGCAAATATTAATGAGTTAATTTACAAGCATTACCTGAAAACTTCAGACTACATTGTGGGAAGACAACTTGGGCCAGGTTAGCTTTAGAACTTAGTTATTTTATGCTTGTACATACTTTACTGTTAAAATATATAATTTTTAAAACTACTTTGAGACAGGATAAATGTAAAAAATGTAGCTTCTTTCCTCTAAAGGAAAATTGGCAAGTTCCACAGATGCAAAGGTAGGAGGTCCAATGATGTTCCTGTATTTTAGGACCTATACTGCCCTTGGACAGAATTATCCCTAAGCAATTTCACTATTTCAATTTAATGGTGCCTATAAAACAAAGAAATCTCAGTAGTCATTGTATTATTTGCAAAGTTCACACCAACAAGAACCTCGGTGCTGTTCCTGCATCTACACATTAGTACTTCCCCCAAGACACATAAATGGAGATCTGCTTCCATTCAGAATCTACAGGGGACTGTCTTGCAGATTCACGGTAATTATTTGAAAAACAATTGCTATAAAATATAATATGCAAAGGAAATATGTGCAACACACTTGGATAATAAAATGAATAGAGTAAACATGAAAGAAAGCATCCAAAAACTGCAGAACATTTTTTCATCATATATATTTACAACACCTGTTACCAAATGATGTAACTCATTATTGTATAAATGCTTTAAAATAAAAAATGTTGTGATGCATGTATTTTAACCACTAGCCTACAGGGCACTTATACCCCCTTCCTGCCCAGGCCAATTTCCAGCTTTCAGCGCTGTCACACTTTGAATGACAATTGTGCGGTCATGCAAGACTGTACCCATATGAAATTTTTATCATTTTTTTGAGACAGATAGAGCTTTCTTTTGGTGGTATTTAATCACCTCTGGGATTTTTATTTTTTCTTAAACAAACCAAAAACCACTGAAAAATTTGAAAAAAAAAAATTTTCTTAGTTTTTTTTTTTATACAATTTTGTAAATAAGTGATTTTTCTCCTTCACTGATGTGCGCTAATGAAGTGATGGGCACTGATAGGCTGCACTGATGGACACTGATAGGTGGCACTGATGGGCACTGATGAGGAGGCACTGGTAGGTGGCACTGATGGGCATTGACAGGCATCACTGATGGGCACTGAAGGCAGCACTGATACATGACACTGATATGCCACTGATAGGCGGCACTGACTGGCACTGTTAGGCAGCACTGACTGGCACTGTTAGGCGGCACTGACTGGCACTGATAGGTGGCACTGATGCGCACTGATAGGCGACCCTGACTGGCACTGATAGGTGGCACTGATTGGCAGCACTGATAGGTGGCACTGATTGGCATTGATAGGTGGCACTGACTCGCACTGATGGGTGACATTGAAAGGAAGCTCAAATGAGCACTGATATGTGGCATTGATGTGCACTGGTATGCACTGATATGTGGCATTGATGTGGCACTGGCACGTGGCACTGATGAGCACTGACTGCTGGCACTGATGGACATTGACAGGTGGCACTTCTGGGGCCACACTGATCATCAGGGAACACTGATCATCAGTTCCCTGAGGATCAGTGTACATGTCCCCTCCACGGAAAGCTGATTACCGGCTCTCCTCTCGAGCTGTCAGCGTGACAGCTCGAGAGGAGAGAAATGCTGAACCGGCATTTCCCTGTTTACATGTGATCAGCTGTGATTGGACACAGCTGATCACATGACCGAGCCGACATCTTCGGCTCTTTCCGTGATCCGCTGTGTCCGAGGGACACAGCGCACCAGCGATCGCCACGCTGCATGCTCCCTGAGCCGCGCAAGCGTGGTGAGAATGGAAGGACGTCATATGACGTCCTATCAGAACGAGAGAACCACCTTGCGCCCATCATTGTACTATATGGCGGGCGGAAGGTGGTTAAAGAGATCTCTGTGGACCATTTGAATCTAGGTCTCAGATTGTTTAAATTAAAAAAGAGGCTAATGCAGATAATGTTATACTGTATGTCAATTTAATGCAATGCCATCATGCAAGGAACTACGGTAAGTCTGTAAAATTGGTTTTAAAAGTTTTACAATATGATTCAGTAAATGGAGCGCAAAAGAAACAATTAGCTGAAACATTGAAACCATATTTTTCTATGTACTGAAGAATAAAAATGGAAAGAAAATAGTAAATACTTCTGCTAGAAAAAGAGGTGAATTTGCGTTAGACAATAAAATGGAAATTCTGATGAGAGAAATATGGAGGCCACCAATGCTGACATCACTTCTGAAAATGGTAGTTCCTTGGATGTGAAGCTGACCCTCTTCCATCAATACTAGGAGTGAATAACTTGGAACAGGTATGCAGATGAGGGCTACAACAGTCCTTCTGACAATACTAATTGCCTGACAGTTGCCTGGCTGTTAGGTTAACCTAATAGCTTTGACAAATTTGTGTCACTAGCAAAAACAAAGCATACAGATTGGATAAGTCTGTGAAAATTGTCCTTTACAACTGGCAGCCCTAAATTTTACTCCCTAATTTTTTCTCTTACTCTACTGTTTCTATTGCTAATGTGGTTTACTAGTGGGTAACGAATACTGTATCTGTCAGGTGAATAGCTACCTAATAAAGTCCACTTAAAGTGGTACTAAACTCCGTTTTTGAACTTGTACGTACAGGCAAGCGTATAATAAGGCTTTCCTGTAGGTACAATGAATATCTCGTAAACTTGCAGTGCTTAGGAGATATTGACACTGGATGCAGCTGGTGACGTCACCAGTGCATGCGCTCTGAAGGAACGGCATACCATGCTGTCCCTTCAGAGCTGTATGCCATAAACTGTGACTCCTGTGTGCATGCGCGGGAGTGATGTTATTGCAGCTCGGCCACTCAAAGGACTGGAGCCAGCAAACCCAGAAGGGAAACTGGGGGAAGATGAAAGCCTTGCCGGCAGTGACAGCGCACCGCTGGAGGGTTTCGTACTAAGGTATGTATTTCATGAGATGCGATGCATACTAGCACATTATGCCATTGCCTTGCAGGGGATTTTTTTCTAAATGCTGCAGTATACTACTGCTTTAAAAAGGTCCTATCCTCCTTGAATAATATTATTCCTTGTTAAGTTTGATGTAGGTTTTTACATTTTCTAGAACAAATGATGCTTATTGGATGTCAATATTTCTGCTATTATCTCTTTTGGAGTGGAATAGAAATAGAGGAACTGTGCATCTCCGTGTAAGACATGATCTAAAAGTAAGTGTAAAAGATGATCTGGTCAATGAGTGTGATGCTTTTCATGCATTTGGGTGGAAATTTACTGTTTATTGTTGTGCATACTGCTAAATCAATTACATGATTCGCTTATGACAATTTCCGTCAAAGAAAATTCTGGTTAATTATCTCAATTGTAAAAAAACAAGTAAATATTGGAAAAGCAAAATAACTAAATTTTAAGAGAACTAATTTCCCAATGCTGAAGGACTCTTTCTAACAAATGGATTGGGTGAAAATAAAAAAAGTTAACAAAGACACAAAATACAAATGCAAGTCTTTTAAATACATTTTATATAAACACATTAAATAGGTTATTCCTATGAGCAATAAATATAAAATAAATTATTTGTGGGTTACAAAGAATGCAACAAAATCTGCAAAAGAAGAATTTAATTGATAAATATTCAAAATGAATGGCAGGGTGCTAAGGAAAAACAAAATACAAAGAGTTCTTTATATTTACATTTAAAAAAGCATTATCTATGCACATAGGTCCTTTAAAAAATGAAAACTCAGAACTGGCCAGCCAGTGGGTACTAAGGATGAGCAAATCTGTAACAATTTGGTTCACAGGGCATTCATTAAATCTAACCAAAATCTTAAGAGCTGATTTACATATCTGCAGTGTGGATAGCTCAGGTTTTACAGCTAATTGACACAGTAGTTGTTCAGTGGTTCATTTCAGGTTTACATCAGGTTCAGGACAGGTTTAGATCAGGATTTTATACTGTTCACACATGCGGTTTAGAAACGGTTCCCATAGAAGTCAACAGCTTGTAATCTGCACCTCAACCTGAAGGCACTGCTCAGAAATCGGACATGACTCTTTTTCAAACCACACTGATTCTGCACCGCCAGTGCACTGGACATATGTGAACAGGCACCATAGGAAGCAATGTTATTTCACATGTCATGCGGATTGCATGCGGTACAAACTGCATCCAATCTGCATATATGTAAACTGGCACTAAGTCTGAACCCCACTGAAGTCTTAGGCTTGGGCAAATCTCAAAAATCAGTTTTGGACATTTTCAAGGCTAATAGGCAAGGGATTGTCAAGCACAGGAAATGGAGAACTGGTCACTGCTATGGGGGACATGTACTAATGCTAGAAAAAAAAAGATTTTAAATACTGTAGAACAGGAATACAATCCACCTTTTCCTGTGACTCCAAAGGAGACATGGCAAGAATTCCAATCCTGTCAACTACATGTTTGGGAGATGCTTTTAGGCTGTATGTGGTATTGCAGTACAATATAATTCTCATGGACAGAGTTTGTGACACTCGCACAAAGTATCAGGATGTGTGGTAATATGGAGCTACAGTGTGTGGATGCTCTAGTATCCGAATGTGGGCTGTATCTGTACTCCCAAACAACATGGAGCCTCCAGCCCACTGAGTATCGTCATATTCCTATCAGTTAAAGAAATACATGAAGTATTGCACCTGGGAATCAAAAGATTATGATGGAATGGCATAGGGGATATATTCCAATCAGGAAAAAAAAAATCACAAATCTTCAGATTAAATGAATATGTCCACTTTACTGTAAATGGTAAACATAAAATTCACTCACACGAGAAAAGAAAGAGAAGACTCTCCTGCATATCTACCTAGCGGAGCTGTGATGTTGTCATGAGCCATACACACGCAATGGGGTTGATTTGCTAAAACTGAAGAGTGCAAAACCTGAAGCTGATTGGCTACCATGCCCAGTTGCACCATATTTTGCATTTTCCAGTTTTAGTAAATCAACCACTTTGTTTTCAATTTAGACTGGGGTATGTCCTAACATACTTTTTTTTTCTAAGGCCTGGCTATGTAGATAACACAGACGAAAACATTTTACAAAGCATTGGAAAATTAAAACAGTATATGAATCTGTTCATATGTGTTTCTCTTGTACAAAGCCAGAAAAGCAGATGCTACCCTGATCTTTCAAAGACACCTGCTAAGTGGCATTAAATAAATTAGTGCACATTTAGACCTGGTCACACAGCATAACATATTTTATCATGTTGCCGTCTGCCTCCCACAGCCTTTCCATATACACAGAACAGGAAGTGGGCTTTTAATGAACTCCATTAATTACAGATAGTGGCTAGCCAAGGTTTGCCAGTTGAATAAACATATGGATAATATCCTGTGCCTCTAACTTAATTATAAGGGGGTAGGCTGATTGTTAGAAGCTCATTCAGACAATCACAGACCTGCTTTCTGCAACATTAGCAGAGCACATTACACAATATTAATTGTAATTGAATTCTTCTACAAATTCATTATGCTTGCTTTGCAAGGTCTGTTTCATTTATTTATCTTTCTTTTTCCTGATTGCTTATTGCACACCTGCTTTTAAATGTAAAAGTATAACTGCATTTACTGACATTTATATCTATATAATGACTGAGCAGGCATTGTCATGGGGACTGCTGTGATTGCGTTGCGAGCTAATAAGTATTACACTTAAAGAGAACCTGTCGGAAGTGGGGGGGGGGGGTGCCCTTGCCTGTGTGCTTAGCATCTGCCAGTTGTAGAGCATTGTGAAGAAAAATGCTTTTAAAGCATCTTTCACCTACCCATCTGGGCAAAACAGCCTTCTGCCTGCCTACCTGTTAGCTTTAGTTGTGAAGATTTGTGCAGCAGGGGTATCTGAAACTCATGCATAAGATCTTACACTGCAACCTCGCACTCTGCACATGAGACGTGTGTGAGCATTATATAACTCTTTTCTCTACAGTTGTGATCTGACAACCATATGATGCACCATTACAAACACCCAACAGTGAATTACAGAATTGTTCTTTGCCAGGGCTCCTTGTGAGTTGCCACTGGCTGCTCTGCGTTCAGGCTTCCTCTCAGGAGGTCTGATGTGGAGTTGGAGGCTTGCAGAGGAGGCATTGAGTTGCGGCCGCCATTTTATAAAATACGTTTGAGGGTTCCCTCCTGGGAGATTCCTCTTACCTGTATATGGTGTCATATGGATTCTGCTGTGCACACTCCAGGAATATGAGTGCTTGGACTATACTGGGTGGTAGACTATCTGGTCTCTGTGACTTGTGTTCTCCTGATGTCATTGTGCCTATTACTCCTTCACTAGTATATGCCTTCTATGCTCAGCTCCCCATGATTGCTATTGGCTCCTGTAACATATTTGGGAGTTTTCTGCTTTGGGGTGAAGAAAAGAGGGATAGGAGTAACATTTGCATACTCCATTAGCAGTATATCCTCAGCCACAGTGATCCCTTTAGAGCAATGGATGAAGACATAAGCCACAAATGAC